GCGCGGTTGAACTTGAACCTACGTTATATTGGCGATTAAGGACACTGCTATTATAGTAACCTTAATCCTCTTAAACGCGGCATCGATGGGACTAAGTTTACGCAAATCGCACCGTATCTCTATTTATCGAAACATCCGGCAGGCGTTTCGGTAATCACGGCGCGCGGAATTACTCATTTCAGCGAGGAAAACTCGGTTTGCCTCGCAAATTATAAAATTTTAATCGACAAATCGCAAGGTAGCCCGTCGAATCGTATAATATTATACGCGCTCGTCGACGCGCAAATTAAAATCCCCAGTCATAATTACGCCGAGGCATTCTTTTTTTCATGAATGCAAACAAATATCCGATGAATGCATTCCGTTGCGCGGTAATCAGGTCAACGCAACGTGTAGTATCGCTTCGACTACGATGGGGGAGAAAAAAAATATTGAATACTGATACTTCTCGATGGTGCAAAAATGCGCTTCGAATTTTGGAGCGCGTGCTCGCGACAAAGTTTAACGGTTCTCGTTTCCAGCGGCGATTTAATAAAAGCGAAAAACAAAAATACAAGAAAAGAGATACTACGCACTCTACGATCTCATATAATTACACGGGAGAAAAATTGAATCAATAATAGATATTCTCATATATAAGCAAGAATATTATAATTTTCTTAAGAGACTTTTGGTCTTGATTTGATTGAACTTAGATCGATGCAAGACTAAAAATCTTCTAAGAATGTTATAATATTCTTGCTTGCATACGAAAACATATCTGTTTTTGATCTAAGATTATTATTTCTCTGCATGAATATTTTAATCGCAATCTCTCTCTCTCTCTCTCCCTTTTGTTCTAAATTCTTCATCTTCTTTTTAACGCGAAACGCGACTCATTCCGAGGATAAAATGTTCCGCGTATTTTAACGAGACTCTCGCAGGAATCCGCTTGAATAATTCGACGAGCGTGCGTGGATGGATCGCGGCTGATTAATCCAGTTGACCGATACACGTAGGCGCATCTTTAATACATCACTCGCTGCACAAATGGATCCCGAAAATCCGACCGGTGCGTAGTAGAGTAGCGCGTCGAGTGCACCGGCACACTGCATAATTCTACGTTATTTTTAACGCGGCCTGCGCGATATCATTCGAATATGGACCTCGCATTTCCACGTGTGCGCCGAAGTTACGTTAGCTTCGAGGCCGATGCCGCGCGTAACGAACTTCGCGAATTCCCGCTCGATGCCGAATCCGTGCCCGCGTTTGTGCCTCGGAGCGGCGTCCGGCAAATTAAAATCTTAGCCGGGAGGGGAGGGGGGCGCTATCAACAAACCATTATCCCGTCGTTTACTGCCAAAGTGGTTCGCCCGCGCCGGTAACTGCGGAACGACCGACGATGACGACGACGGCGGCGCATCTCGAAGCGAAAAATTATTAGTAACGGCCGTTAAGCCACGCGCGATGTTCATAAATCGACGCGGTTTATCGTGAAGGCCCCGCTCTGTAAGTGCACACTTTGTTCACCCGCCGGTATCTAGCTCGTAACGGTGCCTTAATGAAGTCGTAAAAGAGCGGCGTAGTATGCAGACGCCCTTCCCCCCCCCCCCCC